AGTGTTGGAAGTTCTGGCCAGGGCAATCAGGCAGGAGAAAGAAATAAAGGGTATTTAATTAAGAAAAGAGGAAGTCAAATTGTCCCTGTTTGCAGATGACATGATTGTGTATTTAGAAAACGCCACAATTTTGGGTCTCACCCCAAAATCTCCTTAGGCTGATAAGCAACTTCAGCAAAGTCTCAGGATACAAAATCAGTGTGCAAAAATCACAAACATTCTTATACACAAATAACATACAAACAGAGAGCCAAATCATGAATGAACTACCATTCACAATTGCTTCAAAGAGAATAAAATACCTAGGAATCCAACTTACAAGGGATAAGGACTTCTTCAAGGAGAACTACAAACTGCTCAATGAAATAAAAGAGGACATAAACAAATGGAAGAACATTCCATGCTCATGGGTAGGATCAATATCGTGAAAATGGCCATACTGCCCAAGGTACTTTACAGATTCATTGCCATCCCCATTTAGCTACCAATGACTTTCTTCACAGAATTGGAAAAAACTACTTTAAAGTTCATATGGAACCAAAAAAGAGCCCACATTGCCAAAATCCTAAGCCAAAAGAACAAAGCTGGAGGCATCACGCTACCTGACTTCAAACTATATTACAAGGCTACAGTAACCAAAACAGCATGGTACTGGTACCAAAACAGAGATACAGACCAATGGAACAGAACAGAGCCCTCAGAAATAATACCACACATCTACAACCATCTGATCTTTGACAAACCTGACAAAAACAAGAAGTGGGGAAAGGATTCCCTATTTAATAAATGGTGCTGGGAAAATTGGCTAGACATATATAGAAAGCTGAAACTGGATCCATTCCTTACACCTTATACAAAATTAATTCAAGATGGATTAGAGACTTAAATGTTAGACCTAAAACCATAAAAACCCTAGAAGAAAACCTAGGTAATACCATTCAGGACACATGCATGGGCAAGGACTTCATGACTAAAACACCAAAAGCAATGGCAACAAAACCCAAAATTGACAAACGGGATCTAATTAAACTAAAGAGCTTCTGCACAGCAAAAGAAACTGCCATCAGAGTGAACAGGTAACCTACAGAATGGGAGAAAATTTTTGCAATCTACTCATCTGACAAAGGGCTAATATCCAGAACCTACAAAGAACTCAAACAAATTTACAAGAAAAAAAAACCCCATCAAAAAGTGGGCAAAGGATATGAACAGACACTTCTCAAAAGAAGACATTCATGCAGTCAACAGACACATGAAAAAATGCTCATCGTCACTAACCATCAGAGAAACGCAAATCAAAATCACAATGAGATACCATCTCACACCAGTTAGAATGGCGATCATTAAAAAGTCAGGAAACAACAGGTGCTAGAAAGGATGTGGAGAAATAGGAACACTTTTACACTGTTGGTGGGACTGTAAACTAGTTCAACCATTGTGGAAGACAGTGTGGTGATTCCTCAAGGATCTACAATAGAAATACCATTTGACTCAGCCATCCCATTACTGGGTATATATCCAAAGGATTATAAATCATGCTGCTATAAAGACACATGCACATGTATGTTTATTGCGGCACTATTCACAATAGCAAAGACTTGGAACCAACCCAAATGACCATCAACGACAGACTGCATTAAGAAAATGTGGCACATATACACCATAGAACACTATGCAGCCATAAAAAAGGATGAGTTCATGTCCTCTGTAGGGACATGGATGCAGCTGGAAACCATCATTCTCAGCAAACTATTATCGCAAGAACAGAAAACCAAACACCGCATGTTCTCACTCATAGGTGGGAATTGAACAGTGAGAACACTTGGACACGGACTGGGGAACATCACATACCAGGGCCTGTGATGGGGAGGGGGGCGGGGGGAGGGATAGCATTAGGAGATATACCTAATGTAAATGACAAGTTAACAGGTACAGCACACCAACATGGCATATGTATACACATGTAACAAACCTGCAAGTTGTGCACATGTACCCTAGAACTTAAAGTATAATAAAAAAAAAAAAAAGAAGAAGAAGAAGAAGAATCTTGGAGGGGAAAATACTTTAAAAGAGAAAAACTGGGAAAGGAAATAAAACTATAAAAAATCTCTTCAAGCTACCAATCTATTAGGTGGGAGTGTCCATGCCACATGTCACAGACATGTAGTAAAGTGTACACACATGTGCCAGCATGGACAAATATACACAGGCACACATGTACATTTCAGTTCCATATGAACTTGAGTTCATACGGAATATGTGCAAGAGTCTAGGAAAAAAATTTATTCAGGAAAGTAACCATTTTGGTCAAGATGAAAATGTAATCTAGCAATAAATAGTGAATGACACGTGGAAAGGCAGAATAAACTTAAAGAGTACATTAGTTACATTTTCAAATAGTATATGCTATTACATTTACTATTCCAGATGAACTGTCTAAATTTAAAGCAATGGTCTGTTAGCCTAAAAAAATACAATTACACATGCAAAAAAGTGTATGGAAGTTGAAGAAAAACATACCGTGCATACCACTTAAAAATATAACTAGTATACTATTTAAAAACAAATTTATCCTACAGGTGCAGACTTTTCAGGTTCCCTGTGTATTTTTAGAACACATAATGCTCACAGACACTGACTGCACTGATTCTGTATCTGGTAAAAATATAAAGGAAAGAAAGGCAAAGTATTTTCAAGATAATCTTTTTGGTTAAATGACATTTACTAAAAATGGGCCTGCATGATTAAAACAGGATATGTACAACATGGAAGATAAAAAAAATTCTAACATTTAAATTATTACTTAGCACAGACAATTAAAAACTGATAGTGAGCTACAGCCATGTATTTCTTTCACGGTCAACAGCCTTCTAAGCCTAGTCATTTGGGGCTAACACTGGATTCAACACTCTCCCCTCTTCCTATTCTTTTACGGAGAAAGCTGTATTCAAAGTGTACTCAGTTTTTAATTTTCAATTACAAAAAATAACCACAGTGTGAAAATAAAATCTGAAGTAATTTTGTTAGTTTTCTTAGTATTAGACACTACATGCTGAAAATACCATTTTCTCTTTTTTATTTTACAACACATATTTATTTTTTTTAAAATTCCAACAATGCAGAAGTACATGTAGTACAAGACAAACATCTTCTATTGCTTCATAATTCCATTTCCCCAACAAAATCACCATCACCGGTTTGATGTTTTTATTTTTCTATAAACATATTTTACATAAGCTTATTTTGTTCTAATAAATTCAGATTGCTCTCACATGAGAGAAACACTACCTTGACAACTTGTTGAATATACTTCTTTCATGGCTATAAAATCTTTTATTCTAAAGAGTAATCACTTTAAGAAAAAAAGGCAGGAAGGAACTTTATATAAATATCACACACAAGATCATCAAACTGATCTTGTGGTGAGCAACCGTGGTTGGAAAAAATATTTGCTCCAAATAGAGAGATATTCTCTGGATGTCCCAAAATATGACCTGCCTGTACTCTCTAAACCAATGTAGCTATGTCACTGTCTGACAATGCCCAGCTTACCTGCACGCGCCACACTCAAACGTCCCATTTCCTTCATGACACTTGGGACTTTCAGGGATGCCTTCGCTTTGGCATTCACATTCACAGATGTACTGAAGAATAACCTCTACTTCCTCCGTAAAGCCCAGAGGCCTAATTTTAAAGCTGTCAGAATCCTTTTTTGGACACTTATTTGAAGTTATGCTAATTTCAAATTGAACCTTGAAGGGAAAAAAAAGATGAACAACTAAGCAATTTAAATCTACTAAAAAATATTTCAAAAAGTTGCTCACTTATTTTAATGTTTCTCAAAGTACAAACTAACTTTCCTTATAAATAACCAATGTTTTCTACAGAAAATATATACCTCATACATTATATTATACAACATACCTCATCTCCAATGGAAATACAACATACCTCATCTCCAATGGAAATATTGGAACATTTTCTTCCATTTTCCCCTGTTCCATTCACCCCGTTCTTGCAGTAAGATTTGTAACTTATTGTTACTCCTTCTGACAATTTGCCGTTTTCCAAAATGACTTCTGAGGAAAGGGACTAAAAGAATGCCTAATTATACACAGGAAAAGTCAAACAAAATCTACTTGAATGCATAAAACCAATGGATAAATAAACTATTCAGAAGAAAATATATTTCAATAAAATATTTACAAGCCAAATCCAATCGAGCAACTAGAAAACACAGAGGCCAGAGAAATAGGTTTTAATTAATAAGGATCCAATCTGTAAAATAAAATACACAACTGAAAAGAGTATTCGTGTTTTAACCGCTGAGTTAAAATACTCAGGATCACACAGTGTGGAGGGCCGCTGCTGATCAGGAGAAGTCTTAGGAATGTGCAACAGGCTGGGCGTGGTAACTCACGCCTATAATCCCAGCACTTTGGGAGGCAGAGGTAGGTGGACTGCCTGGGCTCAGGAGTTGGAGACCAGCCTGGCCAACACAGTGAAACCCTATCTCTGCCAAAATACAAAAATAAAAAATAAAAAAAAAAAATAAGCAGGCGTGGCAGCATGCACCTGTAATCCCAACTACTCGGGAGGGTGAGACAGGAGCGAGACTCCATCTAAAAAAAAAAAAAAAAAAAGTGAAATAAATGCTGTCTTCCCCATTGGCAAAATGGCATTTCTGCAGTTCTACCTCTCCAGCTAACTACAGACTAGGGTAAACAATCAACTATGCAGTCTAGGAACAAATTTGCTTAAGGAACCATTGTAGCCCAGCCAAAACAAACAAACAAACAAAAAAACCCAAAATCCCCCAAGGATTCAAACCAGTGCTTGTTTAACCTATGAGACTATTCAGGACAAATGGAGAAGGGTAAAATGGCAAGCTATCTCTTGTTCACACCCCTGAAAGAACAGGGGTTAGGAAAATTATCTAACAGGGGGGAATGGAAAAGCTGTGGAACCAGTAAAACCTTAAAAACCTTTGTAAAAACCCCTCCGAGTCAGGCCTTTCCAAAGTATTATGGTACCCCCATGACATGAGGTAAAAATGTCTAAAATTCAAGCTGCCAAAGGGTTAGGGGGATGGGGGCTGAAAGCGGTGCACGAGGCACACAAGGGTTACCATAATATTACAATTGCCTTCAGATTATTTAAATGATCACTAATTAAGGCTAACTCAGTGTGACTGAAGTACACTGAATTATGCTCAAAAAGGAGAAGCCAATTCCTCTTTAATTTCAGTTCAACTTCCTCCCATCTGTGAGGAGAAAACAACACTATAAATCTTTTTGAAATAGGCAAATCACACGTATATTTACATTTTTATGTATTTTATGGTATATGTATATATGAGTGTATGTGTACCTCCTGAATAGAAACCTATATCCTCTGAATATATGGGAAAAGAATTGGCCAAAAAAAAAAAAAAAACAACTTTTCTATCAGAAAAGTCATCTATTCTATCAGAATATGCCTTTAAGATTTAAGATTTCTGTAGTACTTTGGGCTCGCTAAAGTGTGTATGAAGGAAGTTTCACTTTCTTTGAACAAAGTATTCTCAACAGGGTATTGTCCAAAACTGATCTTATTTAAGATGTACTCACATTGTATGCATCAATGATCAACTGAATTACATTACTAGAATTTGCAGATAATGTTCCTACTGCTGACTTAGGGATCAAGTTTTTCAGTTCCTGCAATTAAAAGATAAAACATGTAAAATACATCTACTATTCATTCAACCAATTAGCATCTACTGAGCAACTTTTATCTTTAAATGCCAGTTCCCATATGTCTCATCCTAACTAACTTTAGGAGTCAAACCTAGAAACCAGTTTTATAATATGTAATTAAAAGTTAATATAAACAACTTCTGTAAAATTCGGTTTGCCTATCTGGTGGCATTTTCCCACATTTCAATTCAGACATGATTTGCCTCTAACAACTCAACCAAAAATATTTAGAATTTTGTTCTTTTTATCTCACACATTTACCTTGTAAACGGGCTGAAATTCTTCAGTAACTGCAAAAATTGTCTGAATATTATTTTCACTCAGTTTCTGGACAAGGTGAGCAATAGAAGGATAATCCTAAGAAATCAAGTAATATATTTTAGTATGTAAATACACCCTTATAATCTATTCTAATTTTTCAATCTAGTCATACATGCAAGATTATACATAACTCGATTACAAGACTGCTTTAGATAACTAGATTACATATGTAATTTATATATAGTTAGAGTAAATCTCTTGCATACATATAACTAGATTACAAGACTGCTTTCAAATAATAGTATCAAATATAAACTGCTGAAGTGAGTAGTGTGTATACATGAATTGCTAATCCTCTTCTCTTTCATGTATGAACAAAAAATTCCATATTCAAAAGGTTTTAAATAGTAAGATTATCTATGTATATTAAATATAGGGACAATGAAATTAAAGAATAGTCAGTAATCAAATATTCTACTATCTACAACTTAAGAAAAAGACCAAGATTTCCCATTTGGATTTCTTCTAGAACCTGAATGCTTTTGCCAATATTTCTTTTCAATAAAGGCAGAGTGACCGCTTTTAAAATTCATATAAGACAAAGAGTATGAGACTAGATAAATTATTTATTTAGAAATAGTGCTGACTGTGCTACCAAATGTTGTGGGCAGGGAGTTGAGGCAAAGAGTGAAAGTGGCATCTGGGCATCCCTTTCCCACCCCAGTGAGGCCCTTGTCTGAGCAGAAGGAAGCAAATACAAAGCCACATCTTCACAAACAGCAACACTAGCTTTCCTGCACTTTCAATCAGGACCCCTACTTACCAAAATAGCAAAACCTCAAACCCTGAGAAACCCCAAGCCAGTCACCCACAAACTCTTAGTATTAAACATTAAAATCCAACATAAACACATTTGCTATGTAAGGAACTAAGCACTTACATAATAATGACTCATTGTGTACATATTATTTTCCAGGTGACACTGTCCATCATTTGGTAAAACAATGCCACCAAGTTTCCCATCTCCAGCAAAGTGAAACCCGGCATCTGTGGAAAACACCAGCAGCCGTGTAACATTCCTCCAGCCAATCAGTGACTTGAAAAGAAAAGGATTTCAATTTTAAAACACTATTCACAGTAATTCAACAAAAATCCTTTAATTTTCATACAGGCCACCATTGTATTTTAACCTAATTCTGTTTTTTCTGTGTCTTCTCTTTATACAATGCTAATTATCTTGCTGAGAAATGCACAAAGCCCAGTGAATGAAGCTCTTCCATCCCATGTACAACTATATCTTGCCTGACCATCCATCTCTCTCAGTTCTTTTTAAAAACTGTTTTTTTTGTTGTTGTTGTTGTTGTTGTTTGGTTTGGTTTGGTTCTGCTTATCATCGTATCTCCAGCAGCTAGCAAGCCAGCACACTGCTTGGCAAGCAGTAAGCGCTCGATGAACATTTGCTGAATAAATGAAAGTGTCTCAGCCTATTCTTACTTTACCCCACTGCTGCTGTCTTGTCCCCATCCACCCATCTGCTCTATATTCTATGCCATACACCTTATCAGCCCACCATATGAGGCTTCCCTTTTTTATAACAGAAATAATTATCTTGTTTAAGGATAATTTCACCCATTCTAACTCCTCAATCAGTACTGTTTATCTGCTCATTTACTTTATTCTTGACCTTTCCAATAAGAATCTAAAGTAACTGTAAAATCTTTTTGTCACTATGGTAATTTATAATTATAAAATCTTATGACTACAGGAATTTACTTGCTTTAGTTAATTTATTTAATACGTCTGTTTAGATCTTTATAAGACTGTAAAATCCTTTAAGGTGGTAATCACATTAATTAATACTGGCAATCTTTCAAAAGTGGAGTGATGAATCATTTTGCATCTAGAGGAGTGGATCAGCATGACCAACACAGAAAAATAGCCACAACCAAGGGTGCTATGGCTTGTTTAATCCCACAGGTTAAGGCCTAGTTAGAGGCAGCCCAGAGAATGCTCTCTCCACAAGGAGATGCTAACAGGTTCATATGTCACTGGCTAGCAAGAAAAGAGGTGTAAGGCTAGGCACTACCTGGAATGCTACCTGCTTCGGCTACAATAGCAGGGACTAACCTTAAATTGCAAACACTCTAGTGAAAACTCGAAAGTAACAACAATATAGGAATTGGTATTTGCCGAATGCTCACTGGTACTTTTAGAGATTGATGCATTTTAACTTCACAAGAGCCCTATGAGGTAGATAACTATTATCATCCCTTCTTAAAGAAAAGAAAACAGCCCTGGAGAGACTAAGTAAATTGCCCAGCATCAGTGGTGACAGAAAAATTTGTATTACTATCCATATTCCTTCACTTATTATTTTGGGCATCAATTAGCACCTTAGCAAAAATTGACTGAAAAATAACCATTAAGAGGCCTCTAAAATCAAAGAAGGTCATCTAGAGAATGGGGGCACTGGATGGAACAAAAATGAGACAAGAGTAGGTACACAGGACAAACTTGACCTCACAATGTTTTCTAGTTTCAGCCTCAGCCACACCATTAAAGTGTCGTCTCAAAATATGCTGCTGCTACATGGATCATAAAATGCCAATTACTGATCCAATAGGGATGGGCTTGCTACTAAAAATCTTACAATTAAAATTACAAATACTATACCACTTCTCAAAATACATCTATTCATATAGCTTAAAAACTAGAGCTTAAAAAGTTATTTCTTTTTGAATTACTAATTCAAAAGATGTGAAAGATGTGTCTTTCAAAGACAGTGAGAAGAAAACTGACCAAAGGAAAATGATACAAGACACCCTCCCTTTGAGCAATTTCAAGGTTCCTGGTGATGCCTCAGATAATAACATCAATTCTATCTCTGGTACAAAACCAGAAAGTTAAGACACAAGGGCTTTTCTAAAATCCAGACCACCAGCTACAGTACAGGGAGGTTGCCCCACTGTTTCAAATGGTTAGCATTCTGGCTTTTAAAAGCGTGCATGAATAAACTAACTGCCTGGTTTGCATAAAGATTAAATATGCTTTTATAAAGGCACCTGTATACAGGCAATTTAAGGATTTACTTAAATTACTTCTCTAAGATAATCAAATGTATGAAAATTAAGATCAATTTTTCTATTAACATAGTAAAATCACACTTAAAATTCACACACATAATAGAAACCATATCCCCTTATAGGAAATGAATGTGCTTACTCCACAAACTGCAACTTGCATGATGGCATCAAAACCACCTTCTGGAGAATCCAAATTTCCAGATATGCGCTGTTTTCCAACAAGTTCATTAAATACTTCTCCTTTATTAGTAAGACTGAGCACATTTTTGTAGCTAAATGGGCTGGTGCAGTTCTGTTCACTTGTGCAAGGGTTCCTGAGCTTAGCTGGTGTTGTGCTAATGTAAGGCATCACAGTCTTTTCCACAAATGAACCAAATCCTGTAAAGAAAAAAATGGTATATAAATGAATGAATGGAAGGATAGATGGAAAGACAGAGATTTGCATTCTTTAAAAAATTCATCTATGTTACCACATATTGGTTACTACGGACTGAATGTCTGTCCATTCAGGCAGAGCCCTCATGAATGGGATTAGTGACTGACACAGTCTGGGTATTTGTCCCCACCCAAGTCTCATGTTGAAATGTGATCCCCAATGTTGAAGGTGCGGCCTGGTGGGAGGTATTTGGCTCAAGGGGGCAGATCAATCCCTCATGGCTTGGTGCTATTCTGACCAAGCCATGGTCAGACATAGTGAGTGAGTGACATAGTGAGGGAGTTCTCATGAAATCTGGTATTTAAAATTGTGTGGCACCTCCCCCCACCTCTTGTTCCTGCTCCCACCATGTGAGAAGCCTGCTCCCCACTTTGCCTTCTGCCATGATTGGAAGCTTCCTGAGGCCTCCCAGAGGCCTTGCTGATGCTAGTGCCATGCTTCCTGTAGAGCCTGCAGGACTGTAAACCAATTAAATCTCTTTTCTTTATAAATTACCCAGTCTCAGATATTTCTTTATAGCAACGTAAGAATAGACTCCTACAGTGACCTCATCAAAGAAGCCCCAGAGAGCTGCTGTCCCCTGCTGCTATGTGAGTACATGGCAAGAAGGTATCATCTATGAACCCAGAAGAGGGCCCTCACCAGATGCTCAATCTGCCTTGATCTTGGACTTCTCACCTCCAGAGCTGTGAGAAATAAATTTCTGTTGTTCATAAGCCACCCAGTTTATAGTATTTTCTTAAAGCAGCGCAAATGGACTAAGACCTAAGTCAATCTTTTTATTTTGCCTCCCTACTTTAAAAATAACTCACATTCATTTTCTTGGCATACCAGCTCTCAATAATGGCATGCTGAACAAAAGAATAACTATTCTAGAATTCTGGCCATTTTAAAAAACACTAATTTGGTAGGAGTTCCCTAATGCCATGGTCCTTGAATTATGCTTACTGAATAAAAGAACATTTTAAGCAAGTGCTCTTTTTTAAAGTTTCCACTAAAATAGGGCTAATTTTTGAAAGGCAGCTCTTAGGCCTCATGATTGTCAAATCTTTCTAATTTTCTGTTGCTAAACCTCTGCAGCAACAGGAGTGGAGAGAAGCAGGCAAAAAAGAGGTTAAGCTGGGGACGCATGAAATGGGAAAAATAAGGTTTGGAAAACAGATCATCACCATATGAAAAATCCAGGTCTAAGGTGAGATCAGGCTGTACAGGCAGGTACAGCCATACTAACTAGTAATTAGATAAAATCTGGGTACTCAATACATGTTTATAAAATAAGTCCTAAGAGCCAGGCGTGGGGGCTCTCGCCTGTAATCCCAAAACTCTGGGAGGCCAAGGCAGGTGGATTACCTGAGGTCAGGAGTTCGAGACCAGCCTGGCCAACATGGTGAAACCCCATCTCTACTAAGTTACAAAAAATTAGCTGGGCGTGGTGGCAGACGCCTATAATCCCAGCTACTCCGGAGGCTGCGGCAGGAGAATCACTTGAACCCAGGAGGCGGAGATTGCAGTGACCGAGATCACACCATTGCACTCCAGCCTGGGCAACAAGAGCGAAACTCTTAAAATAAAAATAAAAATAAAATAAAATAAGTCGTAAGATAAATGATCAAGTTAGTGTGAAAACAAGCATGCAAGTCATTATGAGGTACAATCTGTGTTAAACAGTAGCATCCAGTGACAGAGGAACAAGGTGGCAGAAAAGATTATTAAACGTGTGACTGGAATATCAATTTCCACTCAGAAAAGGCTAAAAAACTGGCCTGTTTATCTCACAAGTATGTAGAGAGTAACAAAGGAAGAAAACATAAAACAACATTTGAGAATTGCCAAGACTTTATAATGAAAATGATCAATGTTTCCAACATTCCTACCAATTCTGAAGTCGGACGTAATCCTCCTCATTTCATTCATCAGATCTGTTCCAAGACTTTTTACATTCTCCAAATCGTCTTTCATTGAGTAAGACAGGTCCATAAGGTAGTAGAGGTCAATGGGATAGTCTTCAGCTCTCTTGAATTTTAATGTAAATGTCTGTGGCTCCCCTAATTAGACAAGAGATTAGAAAATGAAACTTGCCTGTTGGCAAACGAGAAGAAACAAATAAATGTGATTTACATGGTAAACACAATAAAATAAAACATGCTGTCATAATTTTTACAAAAATCTGGGAATTCCATAAGTAACTCAATGGGTATGAATTCAATTTCATTCAACAAATACTTAAAACACCAGGCCTTCAGGATGCAACGATAAAAAAAGACATTCCCAATCCACAGTGGACAAAACAGACAAAAAGTCAGTTTACAAGAGAAGGAAACAAATATAACACCATAAATTAGTCTGGGGAGAGCAAGGCAGAACACGTGATAGGGTACAACTTTTTAGACACTGAAGTTGTGAACTCCATTCTGTGTGTAATGGGAAGCCACTCCCTGCAAGTGAATAACACGATCCAATTTTTACTTTAGAAAACCTGGCAGAAAGCTTTAAAAATAAATTACTGAGGCAAAGAGACTAGCTAATCTACAAAACAAACCCAGAGAGAGACGATGAAGGAGGAGAAGAGAGAGATGCAAGAGATGTTAATGTAATTTACTTAGGAAATACATGAGAAAGAAGGTTTGGATGAAAATGTAATTAAAATTTTAACTTGTAGTTTTCTCTATAAAAATTTCTAATAGGCACTTGGAGAAATGGGTTTGGAGCTCAAGAAAAAAGTCTCTGTTGCTGCAGCATACAACTGGTTTTAAAGCCATGAGAGCAAAACTGACATTCAGGTGGACTACAAAAAGGGAGGAAGAAAAAAGACACAAAAAGAGGCCTGGAAGGCAAAGGTAAGAGACACAAGGAAAAACCGAGGAGTAGTATCACTGATCAAGGGGAGAGCATTTCAAAAAGTACAAAGTGTTACTTGGTACAGAAGTGTTTAAAAAAAAAAAAAGCCCTGACAAGGGTCCCCTGGGTCTGCAGGCTGAATGCGATGGTGGAGCTTTGCTAGAGCAGGATGAGGAGAGGGCTGACCTGGCTGAGGAAGGGCACCGGGAGGGTAGGAAGGGCTCCGGGAGGGAAGTCAGGGGACAGGGCCACTCTACCATTCTCCTGACAAGAAGGTTGGAAACCAGAAAAGGGAGAAAGAGGGCTTGTCTTTTCCTTCATGTTTAGATGTGGGACTGACAGACATAATTACAAAAACCTTCACAGTTTAATAATACTAAACAAATGCAAAGGAAAAGAACAGGTTAAATTGTTGCTTTTATAATATATTACATAATTAGACCAGAGGATGAACACTTTCATTTTTAAAACTCACTAAAGCTAATTAATATTTTCTGAATCTTTAACAAAATTTACTTTGAACATAAGGCAACATTTAATATTATTCCAAGTATATATGTTTTACAATTGTTGTATCTGCAAAACTTTTCTAAAATTTAACCAATTCCACATTTTTGAGTGCCAGTCCACATGTAAAAACGAGCCTTCAACAGAAAATGGTCAGAGTTTGCATAAAGCTGGTGTCAAATGCTTCAAGTAAACACACAGGTATTCACACAGTTGGGCTTCCATATTCCATACCTGATCTTAATCGCAAAACCAACTGCTGTGGTTGGATCTGAGTAATATCCTCTGGCTTGAGCTTCTCTGCTGTTCCTTTGCTACGGTTGGTTACATTTTTATTTTTCTTTATATCTTTGGAGCCTCTGGGATTTTCTATGTCATCTGGAGGGCAACCCTTCTTTTTTAAGGCTTCTAAATCATCACATCGTGCAGAAGTGGGCATTCCTTCCTGTAAAAATGTCTAAATGACATAAAATACAGGTATAAATGAAAAGTGTAATGGTCAAACCTTTTTACACAATGATTGCAAATAAGCAATTAAGTTGCAAAACATCAAATCACATCTACTGTACCTCAATTCTGGCTTTTTAACAAAATGCTCCCTTCATCCAAACTGTGGTAAGGGTTCTTGTTAAAAAACAATCATTTCCAAGAAAGTAATACCTTTCCCAGAACTGACCCAAGTGTACATAGTAAATGCTCTATCTTGTAATTCAGAGTATCTAATCAAAAACAATTTCTTTAGTGAAATCACTAATTGAGCATGGTTAATGGCTACTAATAATGTATACACATACACTCAAATATCAGATCATTTCTCCAAAATTTCCCTTTGAAAAGTCCTTACAAAGCCTCTCATGTGGCACTCTTCCCACCACAATATGCTGAACGACCCAATGTTTAGGGAAAACAGATGAGCTTAAAAGCATCTCAATTAATTATGGCATTTTTTAAAAGGAGAACACGAAATTTAGCACAGATTAAATAAGTATTCCCACAGGTTTGATAAAACTTCAAGTATTAGCTATTACTGTAAATACGTTTTTTAAAATTTTTTAAAAAGCAAAATAGTAAGTATATGACAACGGTAAAGGTCCTAATGCCAGGTAAATTTCAAAAAAGGAAAAAAAGGTCCTAATGGCAGGAGAATGGATATTTGCAGCAGTAAAATTTCTAGTAATGACAAAGATTTTAAATGTGCTATACCTTAAACAACTTAGACACAAATAAAAATTTAATCAGATAACTGAAAAGTACCTTAGTGAATTCAAAAACACTGCTGTTAAAGATCTATATAAAGACTGTGAATAGAAGTGTTTCATGAAATGTGAAAATGGGGAGGGGGATCAGTGACATTATATATGGTATTTATTTATCAAGTATCAATTTAATGGTGCTGTATAAAGTAATAGTAAGTGAAGATATTTAAATTTAAAGAACACAATGGTTTTTACAGGGATATTTAAGAGAAACATCACACTAATTAGAGTATTTATGTAATCAACAACTGGAGGGGAATACCAAAATCAGATAATTCAAAGCTGCACTACTTTCATTTATTAAACCTAAACTACTACCTACCAAAGCACAAGATCCTAGTGAATTACACATTTCTAAATACTAATCAATCCAGGAAACTTTACAATCATGACACCCAAATAAAATTTCACTGAATATATTCAGAAAGCCTTTAAAATTTTAAGAATTATGCTCCAAAGTTCAAAAGCCAAGATAATCCTCAACTACAGATAAACTATAGTCCCCATAAAACGGATATGTTAACAATAATAGCAGCTACCACTTATTTAGAACTTTTTAAGTGAAACTGCTTTAAGTTCATCAATTCTAATTAGTGTAACAATAGATAAAGCGGATATTATCAGCCTCATTTTCAGGTATGAAAACCGAGAGCTTCAGTTACATAAGCCTTCCCTGAGACAAACTCACAACACTCCTTATTTCCTCCACTGTTGACAATGTAATCCCAACACACCACTTTTTGAAAGTACCATTAGAAAATTTTTGGAAAAAAAACCCCCAAAACTTCTCATTTTTTCTTTCATGTGGTCAAATCATACGACATATCTGACACTTGACCACTTAGGCGTACAAATACAGGTACTTGAAATTTGGACCCAAATGCCTGCATGAAAACACAATCAATAACCCCTTGACCTTCTGATATTAGTTATTCAGTCTGTGAATAAATTATACAACCTCAAAATGACTTCTCCTTACCATCTCTTTTGATTCATTCATTCATTCATTGACGCATTGAACGTTTAGTAGGCTTTGTGGAAGGTACCGTATTAGCAAAAGCACAGAGATGACAAAAGTGAATAAAATCCAAACCCTAATTGACCTCAATGAGCTTATATTGGGATGCAAATCAATTCTAGTAGTTTTAACTCAAATATAATTAGGAAGGTTAATTCATACCTCCCCATCAAAAAGGGGGAAATCTAAAACAGTCAAACTAAATGACTAGGATTTTTTTGAAGGTTCTCCAGTAAAAATACAATACTTGCCACAAAGATGAGCTACGAATATATGTATTTTAAAACTGTTTAGTAGCCACACTAAAAAAAGAAAAAGAGAACATTAATTTTAACAGGTATAACATTATTTTTAAATATACAAAAATTATCATTTCACCATTATTATTTATTTAATACTAAGTCTTTGAAATCGTGTATATCTTTGAAACTCAGAGCAATTCTAATCTGTATGAAAGTGCTCGATAGCCACATATGCCTAGTGGCTGCTATGTTGAACCACATAGCTCCAGACCATTAGGTTATTCAATAAGTATTGATTTACACAAAAATTAATATGTGCTTCCCAAGGATATAGCACTGAGTCACACTAAATGACCAGAGAAGAAATGGAAAGGACTTGAGCAACCTTACTTACTGAATTTGTGCACCACCCACAATTTGGCCCTGCTTGTATACATTCTCCACATGATTTGGCATTTGCTTTTAAACATCTATTTTCATCTGTCAGAAAGAAGAAAGAACATTTTATGTAAAGTGTCAGAGAGAAAATAATGAAGAATCAAAATCACAATGACAATGCAATATATATGTTAAATATAAATACTATCACGTAGTTACGATCTAAACTAGACCTTCCCCAAAGACAGCAGGATTTTTTAAATTTAATTTTTAACTTTTGTGGGTAAATAGTAGGTGTACACATGTATGGGGTACATGAGATATTTTGATACAGGCAAACAATGCATAACAGTCATATAGTGGTAAACGGGGTGTTCATCCTCTCAAGGCTTTATCCTTTGTGTTACAAAGAATCCAATTACACTCTTTTAGTTACTTTAAAATATACAACTATATTATTATTGACTACAGTCACCCTGTTGTGCTACCAAATACTAGGTCACTCATTCATTCTATTTTTTTGTAACCAGTAACACTCTAGACTTCCCCATCCTCTCACTACCCTTCCCAGCCTCTGGTAACCATCCTTCTACTATCTTCATGAGTTCAATTGTTTTAATTTTTAGCTCCCACAAACCAGTGAGAACAATGCGAAATTTAAGACCATGATTTTTGATCACCTTGACACTGAAAGCCACAGAGAGACATTAGTTATCTTCCTTGTCTTCTATATCAAAGACAACATTCTTTTTTTCAAAGGCATAATTCAGAATTTATCATTCTTGATTGTCATAAATCTCATGAGTTTTCTTACAACTGGGTAAAGCATTATTTCTTTATTTAACTCATACTACCATACCCACAAGAATCTTCAGGGCTTTCCCTTTGCTTTCAGTATGTTAAATAACTGAAAAGTCCATATTCATCTAATCCACAATCCCAGAATTTCTCAGGCCCTATGTTCAAAGTATGTTTTAGGTTTCTTTGCATCCACCTAAGGAAGAGTATGCCTTCTACATGGTAAGCACTAATACAGACTGTCTCCAATGTATCTTTTCTGATTATAAACCCAGCACATGCTTCTTACAGAAAATCTGGAAAACACATAAGAGCATAAAGAAAAAACTAAAACTCACTGAATCTGTTAACTAAGAGAGGACTGTTGCTAACATTTTTGCCTATTTCTTTCCAGTCTTTTTCCTATGCAGATAAATAGCAAGGGGAAGGAAGCATATATATATATATTAATAGATGTATTATTTACATGAAACTGAGGATACACTTTATATATACAGTTGTACAGTTTTGTATACTGTTTTTTATACCTTATCCTAAGTGCTTTATTCTTATTACAAATTCTTTTTAAAAAGAATTAAAAAGCTTTTAATGATTATGTAATATTTCAATATGAGTATACTCTATTTAATGCTGGATAAATTTAGATTGTTTCCAAATGTAAGTGTGCACAGTTCACACATGCTTGCTCACATGCACACATAAATACCCCAAGTACACATATACACATACTGTACTACACGCATATACACATGCTGATGACCAGTCTTATATATAAACCTTAGTACCCATCTATTTCCTTTTCAAACATCCCAAAAGAACAACTAACTACTAAGTTGAAGAGTATATTAACACTTCTAAAATTCTCTATACACACTAATTTCTACCCAAAAGTAATATGCAGTTGACCCTCTGTATCTGTGGTTTCCAAATCAGTGGATTCAAGCAACCACAGATCAAAAATGTTTGGGGGAAAAAAGTGTCTGTACTGAACATGTACAGACTTTTCTTCATGTCATTATTCCCTAAACAATACAGTACAAAAGCTATTTACATAGTATTTACATTGTATTAGGTATTATAGGTAATCTAGAGAAGATTTAAAGTATACAGGAGGATATGTGTAGGGTATATGCAAATATCATGCCATTTTATATCAGGGTCAATGAGCATTTGTGGATTTTGGTATCTGAAGGAGGTCCTGGAACCAATTCCCCATGGATACCATAGGGCAACACTACTAATATAAGCTCCCACAAAATGGCAGTGTACAAATACCATTTTATCACATTCCCAAGAAAACAAAGTGCTTTAATATTCAAAAACTGTTGCTCATTTAATAAGTGTAAAACAGAATATCAATTCAGTGGTCAAGCCTACCAATTTCAGGTTTTACATTGTTTCATATTTTTACTATGTCTTTTATATGTCTTTTGCAAATTTTTTTATGTTCCTCAGTTTTTACTGGATTTCTACACACATTAATGAAGTTGAACCTGTGTTTAGTTTCTCATCTTGTTTACAGTGTTCTGACAGAATTTTTTTGCTATTGTTGATTTTATGTAATTTAAATGTATCGATACTTTTACGGTCTCCTGCTTCATTTTTACTACCTTCCAATCCTGATCTCAAACTGCTCTATGCAGTGTAGTTTTTCAAGATTTAGACGATAGAACTGGATATCCATTATTCCAGATGTGGAGCCACATCTTTATAGAAGTGTTAAATACATTTTCAGCTTTATTTTCACTGCTCTCCTAGATGATGCCAACATTTTGCAAGACTTTTTTATCAAAGAGTGAGAATGTCTTCTAGAAAGTCTTTGTAGATAATAATGGATAGTTCATAATCCTCCATTCTATACATCTACTTCATTTGCTTCTAAATATACTACTTGCCTTTGCCTTCTGTTCACTTACACACTCTCGTGTTCTCAGAAGATTTTCCTGCAGTGTGTTCAACCCCTAGCATTTTAGTACTTCACCAGCCAACCTGTTTCCCATCATCCCGGGTGACAGGGGTGAGGGGAGCCTGACCATGAAGGATCTTGACCTTTCTCTGAGTGAGAGGGATAACTGCAGGGCTTCCAGAAGGAGCAGCATGATTATGACTTAGGTTCTCACATGAACCTAACTGGTCAAAGAGCAATACAAGATACAGAAATGAAAGGACAACTAAGAAAACTTTTTTTTTTACCTGTTTGACCAAACACACAGCAAATTGAACTGATCAGTCCAATCCAGAAAATCAGTTGTAAATTCATCTGAAATGTAAAATGTGCCTTGTATTAATTAGAAAGAAGTAAAATGAAAAATGCATTAAATAGAAAGTATTCCCCCACTGTACCTTCTATTGCTTTTATAAACATGTTGTCTCTCAAACCATTTCACTCCAGCCCCTCTCCACAGACCCTCACCCATCTCCCTCCCTAGCTGGTTCCCTCACCTTGCACCTACACTGCGAAAATAGCTTCCATACCAGAGCCCCAGAATCCATTCGTGCCTTTCTCTAAAGCAAACTAAATATATTTTAACATTTAATTAACAGGGCTCAAAAAAGAAAAAAAATCAGTGTTAGGTATTCCTCAACACCATAAAAGCTACCAACAGTACTCAGTTCACGGAATCTCTATCTCCATTATCTCCTGCAACTCCCAGGGGCCCAGACCGGCATATCCAGATGTCTCAGTTACCTCAATGCTGAACATTCATTTTCAAAAACCTGATCAAGTCATCCCCCTGCTAACAATGCGCTTCACCAGTTTTTATTTCTCCTCAAGCTAAGGCCAACATCCTGTATAAGGCTCCAAATAGATTTTTGAGCTTGTTTTCCTATTATCTCTCTTTTTTAAGAAAATCAACTTCTGCCAGGAGCGGTGGCTCACACCTGGAATCCCAGCACTTTGGGAGGCTGAGGCAGGCAGATCACCTGAGGTCAGGAGTTTGAGACCAACCCGGCCAACATGGAGAAACCCCCGCTCTACTAAAAACTAGCCAGGCCTGGTGGTGGGTGCCTGCAGTCCCAGCTACTCGGGAGGCTGAGACAGGAGAATCACTTGAACCTGGGAGGCAAAGGTTTCAGTGAGCCAAAATCATGCCACTGCACTCCAGCCTGGGTGAGAGCAGGACTCCATCTCAAAAAAAAAAAAAGAAAAGAAAAGAAAAAGAGAAAGAGAAAGAAAAAGAAAGAACAGAAAAGAAAAGAAAAGAAGAGAAAATCAACTTCTATGCATGCAATTAGTAAAATATTCAGTTTTAACTTCCTAGAGTGTCCAAAACCCCCACCTCTCCCCCATTGAAACAAGGACGGCATAAGACAAACTGAAAAAGTCTCGTCTTCTAGAACCTCTAACAAAAAAATTAGGTAATATTCTATATATTAAATACAACTACCCCAATCTCCTACCATTAGGGGTGTGTGTGTGTGTGTGTGTGTGTGTGTGTGTGTATATATATATATACACACACACATATAAAACTATTTTCTCGGAATCAAAGCTTTCACGACGATATGAATCTATATCTTTGATTGGTCAAAGATGGCTATGGCCACTGGTTGCTCACTTGATCCCTTAACTACTTAATGCTCTTGGACTAGCAGCCAATCTAATAATTATATATAAATATCTGTCCCTTCACAAGAAGAAATACTCAAAAAAGCAAATTTATACAAAAAAAGTTTAGGTTTAATCATTATTGAAAAATGTAAATTAAAGCAACATAAGATGAACTAGCAAAAACGGAAAGTTTTTTAACCCAACAAACCTATAGCAGATGGCTGCGAGAAACCAACTGGTAGCTCCGTGAACTGATACAACTTTTTGGGAAATAATTTGACAATTTATACCAAAAACCATAAAGAAAATTTCTACCCTCTAATAATCCAGTTACTCGGAATTTACCCTAAGGAAATAATTAAATACATAAAAGGTGATACACACATACACACACACATTCAGTATAGTACTCCAGTATATTCACAAGAGCAAAAATGTAAATATCCTATATCCAATAACAGGAAAATCTAACTGCATCAAGTTTATGGACCATTAGTCATTACAATAATAAAATGCAGCAACATTTAGAGTTATAGAGGGCCAGGCGCAGTGGCTCACGTCTGTAATCCCAGCACTTTGGGAGGCCAAGGCGGGTGGATCACGAGGTCCATCCTAGCCAACATAGTGAAACTCCGTCTCTATTAAAAATGCAAAAATTAGCTGGGCGTGGTGGCACTCCTGTAATCCCAGCTTCTCAGGAGGCTGAGGCAGGAGAATCGCTTGGACCCCGGAGGCGGAGGTTGCAGTGAGCTGAGATCGCGCCACTGTACTCCAGCCTGGCGAAAGAGCAAGACTCTGTCTCAAAAAAAAAAAAAAAAAAGAGTTACAAAATAATTTTGGATGTAAAGTACACAATAAGATGAGAAGAACCTGACTTTCTCAAGGCAGAAGAAAAAAAGATGCGAGGAATATAAAAAAAAATACTAATAGTTTCATATAATCTGAAGAGTTACATGCACAATATAAAAACAATGAGGGTCATTTGTTTTTTAAACTGTTAAGAGTCTTCTTTCTACTTTCTTTTTTTTTTTTTTTTTGAGACAGAGTCTCCCTCTGTCGCCCGGGCTGGAGTGCAGTGGCCGGATCTCAGCTCACTGCAAGCTCCGCCTCCCAGGTTCACGCCATTCTCCTGCCTCAGCCTCCGGAGTAGCTGGGACTACAGGCGCCCGCCACCTCGCCCGGCTAGTTTTTTGTATTTTTTAGTAGAGACGGGGTTTCACCATGTTAGCCAGGATGGTCTCGATCTCCTGACCTCGTGATCCGCCCGTCTCAGCCTCCCAAAGTGCTGGGATTACAGGCTTGAGCCACCGCGCCCGGCTTCTTTCTACTTTCTTAAATGAAAACAACTGTAGCACAGTTTAACTGTGCAGTTCTTTTTCTTGATAAATTTCCTTTAATATGAAAAAAGTTCACTGAATTCCAAGTTAACGCTGAATATTTCTTTTATAGACCTCCATCTTCAAGGGCTTACATTCCAGAATGTTATTCCCCTAGCTCAGACAGAATGCTTTAAGTTGTGCTCTGAGCACCCGAGAGAAAAGAGTTAAGAGTAACGTGAAAAGTCATCCACTTCTGCAATTGCGCTCAGCCCAGCAGGTTGTTACGCCTGAGCGTGCAGTTTTGCTCACGTATTACTTGCGACTGTATCCAAGAGACCAGCAAAATCTCAGTGTCAGAGAAGTGTGAAATGCCTACCAAATTCATCTTCCAAGGCCTGCCTAAAAGGTTTAATGTGTAATAAATCCATGAGACTATAATTCTAAGCAAGTCAAATAATGTTATCAATGATTCCAAAGCTATGACAACAGACACCTGGAACATCAAAAGTTCCTGGGGAATTGCATTACTGTGATGAATGAAGCATGCAGGCAGTTTCCACACAAAGGGAATGGAACAACTATTTGTTCCATATATGGACAGATACATGTTTCTTCAGGATACAACTCAGGCTGTTTAATGATCGCTAGAGACTGCTTTGAGAAATCTGTCAACATATCATACAATTCAGACAATCACCACTAAGATGAAGTTATTAGGTAACAAAAAATGATTCCTAATATTCAAAGCCACACTACTTTAAATGTCACTGTCCTTTTCCTTCTATAAACCTTGACAAGGCAAAAATCAACCATCTGAAACCCTCATACCTCCAGAAGAGCTCCAAACCCAGAAGCAGGCAAAACAAGGCTTCAGTGTTAAAGAACAGCTGAGAGAACAAGGCCAGCAGCTGGAAACAGTTTAAAGACAGATGTCAACGATCCTGCGACTGGCAGGGCACTGGCGAGAAATAGAGAGGCACTGCCATTGGCTAGTGATGTCTGTAAAAGGCCAGGCTTTCTCTCCAGGAAACGGAAAGACTACAGGATGAGGCCGATTAAGAACCCAGAAGACCTACAGGACCAGGAGGTAGAGCGGAGACCACAGTTAGAAGTGGCCTGAGAGAGGCAAGCCACAGAGACCTGGACAGGAAACGAGAGGCAGAGGGCCAGGGAGCCTCGCTTTCAACGCTGCTGGTCTCTCAACGCTGCTGGTCTTCCCTTCTACCGGTAGTGGGTGCCCCCTGCACATGTGCATGGAAGGGGAAGGAACAGGCACCCAAGTCCTATGCCACAAAGCCCCCAGGACAGCACTTTTCTAAGTTGGCCTAGGGAACAACCACATTGGGTTTACCTGGATGCCCACCCTAGGCCTAAAATCCACAATCTCTGAGCATGGGGCCTGGACTCCAGGTGATTCTTATGCTGAGAAAAGGACCCAAAGGGGTTTCCTCCCAATGGCATTCCATATGAAACAGAGTATGAGGGTATAACAGGGAAAGATGCCTTTCAGATGCTGGCCTACTTCTAATGTTTGTCTCCTCTTCACAGTCAAAGACCTAGAAACAGTTGTCTACACTGATCTCCATTTCCTACCTACCTTCCCTCTCCTCAAGCCAGTACCTTCACGTGTCACTTAATGAAGAAAGAGCTCTGAGAAATGCGAAGGCAATTTCATCTCTGTGCAACCATCAGAGTGCACTTACACAAACCGAGATGGTGTGGTCTCCTACACACCCAGGCTCTACGGTATAGCCTATTGCCCCTGGGCTACACAACTGTCCTGAACACTACAGGCAACCAGAATACTGCAGTAAGCATGTGTGTATCTACACTCAGCTAGACATAGAAAAACTACAGCAAAAGTATGGTACAAAAGATTTTAAAATTGATACACCGCTATTACCATTAATAGAGCTTGCAGGACTGGAAGCTGCTCTGGGTGGGTGGCTGGGTGGGTGGGTGAGTGAGTGAGTGGGGCAAGTGAGTACACTGCACAGAACACTCACTGAACAGGACATCACTGATATTACTATACACGGTACTGTGGACACAAACACACACACTACATTAGCATAGGCCTGCACAGCGGCGTGGGTCAGGATCATCAATGTCGCTGTCCTGCACCTACATATCCTGTCTCCAATGACACATGGAGCTGTCATCTCCTAAAAGATCTCCCTCTTCGGGACTACTTCCTGAAGGACCTGGACCTGCCTGAGGCTGTTTTAACTTTTTTTATATAAGGAGAAATACTCTCTCAAATAACAACAGGCTGGTGGTGGTGGCTCACGCCTGTAATCTCAGCACTTTGGGAGACCAAGATGGGCAGATCACAAAGTCAAGAAATCGAGACCATTCTGGCCAACGTGGTGAAACCCTGTCTCTACA